AAAGGTAGTAAAATGCTGCGATTGACAATTTTCTGCTGAACTCGGATACAACACGATATTCTCATTATCGTCATAGAGCAAACTCGACTGAGGTATTCAAGCGACTTGGGGAATCCTTTTAGATTTTACCAGTTAATAATTAGTACGCTTCACTAAATACCGAATCATAATTGATCTTAGAGTAATAATTGTTCTGGTTGTGAGCGAGATGGTTGGAATGTGCATCAATTCCAGAGAATAATTTCATCTTGAATTCCTGAAAACTTCCTACTCTTGACTGAAGAAAGATTATGGAAAAGTCGAAGTTTATGCGTGAAAATAAACATGAATAGAAGATCGGTCGCAGGCTGACCCTGAGGAAGCTTTAGTGGGGCCTTAACTTGAATTTTACATGACAAGGTTTTACATTGTCATTTAAAAATTGCTGCGTCATAGGGCCACCACTTAAAATAGAGTTTAAGGGATATTGCACGGGACTGAAACCATATTTTCAGTCGACCTTTCTTTTCTATTCTATTCGTAGGGTCTGAAAAATCGAGGCTCGTCTTACATTCGCCAATTGAAATATCGCAACACTTTACCAGTAATCATGAAGTATTTGAAAGACTCAATCTAATCACGAAATAACGCGGAATGATTGCATTAAAAAAACCTCAGAAAATCACAGCCAAAGGTTTTCAGCGCGTAGGAGTTTCAACCTCCATTTCAACGTCAGCGCAAGCATCATCGGGGATTTCCGGTTCGTCATCTCCGATGGAAGCTGAAGATTCGCCAGAAGCAGCCAAAGCTGCCTTCATTTCACGAAATCGTTTAACCAGGGCCTTCGAGTCTTCACGCACTTCCTTCCTCTTGCTGCTCGTGGACAATAAATTGAGGTATTTCCGCGCATCCACTAAATTGCCAGACTCGATCATGTACTCGGCGACGGATTTGTAAGCAATCGGAAGAAATTCGGCCTCGCAGCCATCCTGCTCGCAACCGAGGCTGATGAATTTGAGGAACGCTTCTGCGGATTCTTTCTTGCGTTTCAATTTGTCCAATAAAACTGCCCACCTTTGAACGCGAGAAAAAAAAAGCTTTATGCCAACAACTGCCCATGAATATTACGACGAACTCTTTTTAAAAACAAAGTTTTGCATCGAGGTTGTCTTTCGGGCTCCCGTTACCCCGTATCGGCGAGTTTCCAGGAAGTCAGGCCCGTAAAAAAATGAACCATTTCTGACATTCACAGTTCCAGTGCAAATAAGCAAATAAATTCGTTTTAAAAATAAATAAATAAAATTCTTTCAGAACTAGATTTATTTAAATTATCTGGGAACTTTCTCGTACCCGAATTTGCCTCATTTCCAATTACAGTATCATACGCTGACGTTTTGCTAATTTATGGATTAAAGTTACCCATCGAGTTCAGCAGGATTCCCAGGAATGGTACACTGGTCTATCCTCGTGAACAATGGTACCAACAAATGAATTGATGGATTTTTTAGCCACTTGGAGAGTGATTTGAAAAATAACCCTCATTGGACGCGTCACTGT